CCCTGGCCACCCTGCGCCAGCTGCCCATGTGCCACCCGCTCTTCAAGGTGAGAGAGGGGCCGGGCCACCCCCACCCCCCCGAGCCAGCTGTGCTCAGATGTGCGGGAGAGAAGAGCCCAGCAGGGGAAGCGTGCCAGACGGGCCCCGCTGCCGGCACCCACCTGTGCCCAGCCGCACCTGCGTGTGCCCGGCAGGGTGTGTGTGCCCGGTGTGCCAGGCTGGGCTTGCCCCACGCTGGCTGCGTTCTACCCATTGCGGTTCAGCACGTCCCCCACCTCCTGAATGATGGGGAAGAAGGAGCCGCTGCTGGCTTATCAGAGGGGCCGGGTCCTTGCCCCCACGGATACATGCAGGGGTGGGGGTGGCTCCCTGCTTGCCCTCACCCACTCCTGTGTCTCTTCCCCCCCAGCTGCTGCTGCCCCACACCCGCTACACGCTGCACATCAACGTCGTGGGCAGGACCCTGCTACTCAGACGCGGAGGGATCATTGAAAGGGTGAGAGGATGCCATGGTCAGGGGCATTGGACCCCACTCCCCTCCCAGAGCCGGGGAGAGAACCCAGGAGTCCTGGCTCCCAGCCCCCCCTGCTCTAACCCATCAGCCCCCACTCCCCTCCCAGAGCCGGGGAGAGAAGCCAGGAGTCCTGGCTCCCTGCTCCCCCAGCTCTAACCACTAGCCCCCACTCCCATCCCAGAGCCATGTACTTGGGAGTAAAATGCACCTGTCGCCCGAGGTCACCTGGAACCCCGAAGCTCTCTTCCCGTATTGTCTCGCCGTGAAAACTGCATCAGGAACCTCCCGGAGAGCAGATCCTTCGGGCCAGCCTCCATCTCAGTTAGTCCCGGTGTTTGCACCATACGGCTCTGCGGACGCAGCCTCTGCTTGCAGCTCATCGGTACTGTTAGCAATTAACTTCGAGAACTCCTGGAGGACGGGTGAGGTCCCAGCGGGCTGGAGAAGGGCAAACACGGCATCTGTCTTTGAAAAGAAGAACAAAGAGGACCCAGGGAATTACAAACCAGTCAGTCTAACTGGAAGATACTGGAACAAATTATTAAACAATCAGTATGTACCCAGAGGATCATAGGGTTAGAAGGAAGGGCCCACATGGATTTGTCAAGAACAAATCATGCCAAACCAACCTAATTTCCTTCTTGGACAGCGTTGCTGGCCTAGTGGCTGGGGAGAAGCAGTAGACGTGATATATCTTGATTTTAGTCTTTTGACACATCCCACATGCTAACGAGGGAAATTTGGGCTGGATGGAATTACTATGGGTGGTTGAAAGACCAGACGCCAAGAGTGGGTTCTCAATTGTCCACTGTCAAACAGGGAATCTAGTGGGGTCCCACAAGAGGACAGGCCTGGTTCGGCACTATTCAATATTGTCATGAATGACTCGGATAACGGAGTGGAGAGTTTGTTGATAAAATTTGAGGCTGACACTAAGCCAGGATGGGTTGCAAGCACTTCAATAGGCAGGATTAGAACTCAAAGCGACTGCGACAGCTCGGAAAATTGGGCTGAAATCAACAAGCTGAAATTCAAAGGAGACAAATGCAAAGTGCGCCACTGAGGAAGGAAAACTCCAATGCCCACCTGCACAATGGGACATAACTGGCTGCCAGAGGGTCATACTGCTCAAAAGGATATGGGAGTTGTGGTGGGGTCCCAAATGGAATATACAACAACAATGCGACGCAGTTGGGAAAAAGGCTAATATCATTCTAGGCTGTATTAACGGGAGTGTCATGTGTAAAACCAGGGAGGTAATTGTCTGGCCCTGGTGAGACCTCAGCTGGGGAACAGGGGTGGGGGGGAGGGCGCGTCACACTTTAGGAGAGATGTGACCAAATTGGAGAGAGTCCAGAAAAGAGCAACAAACATGATAGGCTTAGAAACCCTGATCTATGAGGCCAGGTTAAAAAAAAACTCTGGGCACATTTAGTCCTGAGAGAAGAAGACCGAGGGGGGGGACCTGATAGTCTTCAAATATGTTACAAAGAGGATGATGATCAAATGTTCTCTGGTCCTGCTGAAGGCAGGACAAGAAGTAATGGGCTTAATCTGCAACAAGGGAGATTTAGGTTAGATATTTGGAAAAGCTTTCTCTCTCTAAAGATAGTTAACTCTGGAGCAAGCATAGAAGGTTTTGGAATCTCCGTCATTGGAGGTTTCTAAGAACTGGTTGGACAAACATCTGGGGTTGCGAGTGATTGATCATTTTTGGGGTACAATGCAAAGCGAAACATCAGGGAGGCACATTTGTCACGGGGTGTATTGTCGGTCATCGGGTTGCGCTGAAATAGATTGTGGCGGTATTTCATTCTAACCCACCCCCTGGCCCGGTGACTCAGAGGTTGAAGGCTCTGTCTCTGGTCCCTTCTCAGGCCATGGGCTCAGGGCTTGAGGGGACCAAGGTGCTGATGGCCAAGGGCATGTCCTGCCTGACCTATTCCTCCCTCTGCTTCCCTGATGACATCCAAGAGCGTGGGGTTGACTGCATTCCCAATTACTACTACAGAGATGATGGGTTGAAGATCTGGTCGGCCATTGAGAGGTAAGGAGCAGGAGCCGGGGCAGAGGGTGGCGAGGAAGCAGATGGCATATGGAAAATTCCCACCAGCTCAGAGTTGCTTAGAAACACAGCTTTCCTGCCATGTAAAGAATTCTAGTTTTAAAAAAATGGTAATTCCCAAAAGGCACTCTTCCAAAGACACCCCCCCCCCAGCTAGATTGCATGAATGCTCCTTGAGCCACTCGTGAATCACACAGAGAAGGGCACCAGCCAATTCTCGCCAGCCTTGCACACCAGAACTATACCATCTTGCCCTGGTCAGAAGCCTGGTCAGTTTCAGTTTATTACCCAGTCCGTCCCTCCCTCAATGTGGAGAGGACATGCACCAGTCTTTGTACCTGAGCTGAGATTTCCTGAGCACTTCAACCAAACCAAATTGTTTTAGGTAAAATATAAAACAGGTTTATTAGCTACAGAAAGATAGACTTTTTTAGTTATTATATGTGGTAGGCATAAGAGGTTAGAGATAGTTACCAAAGAAAATAAAAGGTAAGCACACCATCTGAATCTTAAACCTTATTACCTAAGCAGCATTTAGATCAAACAATTTTCTCATCACACTGGATGTTACAATTCTTCATACACAGGCTTCTCCCTGAAGCCTGGGACCAGTCTCCTCAGTTAAAGTTTTCATCTTCCCAGCGTTCTTGTTGCTTCCAGCATAGGTCAGGGAGGAGAAAGGCCAAGGAATGGTGCCACTGTCCCTTATTTTATACCCTCAGTCCATGTACCTATAAGACACTTGCCCGGACATGCCCTGATGGGCTTTGCTGAGTCACTGGGTTGAGCAATCCCCCTGGTGGGTCTTGTGCAAATGGGTCAGAGAGGGAAGCAGTCCCCATTGTGTGGTGCTTGGGCAGCCGTCATTGAATTGTAAATCCCTTGATTACAACTTCCCTGCTTATTAATGGTCTGTGAACACCCTCCTGGGTGGGGTGGGGGGAAGTTCTTTGTATGTCACTAGCAAATTTACAGCATATTTCAGTAACAACCACCCAGAAAAATCTCATAACTTCATACACACTAATGATACCCATATTTGGAAAGAAGAAGGGGTTTCAGAAGATCATGACCTTTCATATGATATCGTACATGGCATGCTTTGTATGAAATATGACAACTATATATGAATGATGCATATGGGTTTTATAGGGAGCTATTTTGAGGTACAGTGTGTCACAGATTCTATTCCTGATACCTGGAGGTTCCCTGGTAACAAGGTAGCGTGGTGCCAACAGGCAGCTTTGGGCACTAAAAAATTAATCCTACCACAATGGAAAAGTCAACCCCCAT